TATATATGGATATTCATGAAAAAGAATTACATTATGTATGTGCAATGTCGTATTCATTTATTGATATTATATTATTATTACCTAAAATGACATTGGACGTAAGGAAAAAATGCTACTACGGCTTCGTATCGATGTAGCTATTAAAGTTGAAAATCTGTACTTTATGTATATTATAGATTTTTAATACTGGTGATATATATTAGAACACAGCCTACATTGCATGTGTACATAATATAAGTGTATTTCTAAGGTCCGATTCTACAAATATAAGATTAACTTCAATTACGGTTTATTTTTTTCTCAATTCTAAAATTGGAAAATTTTCCAAAATAAATTTTACATTTGTGGAATCAACTTTAATACACGTCCCTGGTAATGTAGGAAACGGAATAAAAATATCGATAATTAATAGATCGATTTTCCTGCATGATCATATTAACTCAGAGGGCGTAATCATCTTATACATTGGAAATAAAAACCTGTAATATCGACCTTGATTAACTTCAGCCTTCACTCCAGCATCCCCTTAAGAATCCCCCACATACTACCCCCCGAGTGACAACGAATCTGAACCCTATGCTTAATACTAAGTTAACATAATATTGCTTTAATGATAGGTAATTTATAATGCCGGTTCCATTTACCCACCATTTAGATCTACCATATAAATCATATACAACGTATCATATAAAATATCTTATAAGTGTCTGTCTAAAGTTAATTATATTTTGTCGTTGGGAAGATTTATTAAAATTATATAGCGAAAGTTACCTTCCTCTTCGGGCGCGCATACGTTCTCAAAGTTGGTCGCTCGTTGCTAAACGAATTGGCTGTTTGCCCTGCTTCTGGAATCTCACTATACAAGTCATCGCGTATGCCATACGCTGGTTTTAAATTTTCGATCGATACACTGCGCTGTGTACCATTAACGTCAGTGTTGAATACTCGATCCGAAACACGATTTATAACCTTGTGAGAGCTGGTGTAGGGCCGCTCTAACGCTCTCTTGGTACCGCCCACCCGTAGAAAAACATGGGAACATGAATATAAATCTTTAAATACGAATGCGCGTTTCTTGTGCTTATGCTCTATCGAGATTGGCTTAACTTTGTGCATATGCTCGCGGAATTCCTCAATGAAAATTTGCGGACTAGGAGTGAAGTCGTCCGGCAGTACAAATTCTCTGAGGACGCGCAGCGTCGTTCCATAAACAAATTCCGCAGGCGATGCGCCGGTGTCAAGGCGGACATGAGTACGCAGACCTAATATTGGGTCATCTAAAAAGTATCCGCGATACTTTGTCACTAGATATATGACCATCAACACCATCTAGTACGGTCGAAAGTACTCGTGACCAACCTTCATTAGCATGACACATAATAGCAGCTTTTAAACTTCTATGCCACCGCTCGATCATACCGTTCGAGGCGGGGTGATACGCCGTGGTACGAATTCGTTGACAGCCGATCAGCTGAAGAAGTGCAGTAAAAAGTTGCGCTTCGAACTGACTACCTTGATCAGTAGTTATCGTTTTGGGTGCCCTAAAATTTGCTATCCAGTTGTCGTAAAACGCGCGTGCCACTGTAATGGTTTCAATGTCTTTTAGAGGTATTGCTACTGGCCAACGCGAAAATCTATCAATCATCGTCACACAATATCTGTACCCGTCCGACTCAGGCAAGGGACCTATTAGATTCATGTGAACATGCTCGAAACGCCCGTCGGGTGTGACAAATTTTTCAGGAATTGAATGTAATTGAACGTGTCGAGTTATTTTTGACTGCTGACAGTCAAAACAATTCTTGTATCACTTTGCAATATCGCGATGCATATTAGGCCACACATACCGTTGACGGATTACCTGATCAGTGACTTTAGGGTTCGGATGAGCCGCGTCATGGAACAAGTGAAAAACGCGATCTCGTGGAAAGATGCCGATATATAGAGGCGGATTGCCTCGCCGGTCATTTCGCAGTAAAGTGTAATATGCATCGACCCCCATTGAATTCGCTTCATAGAAAGCGGAAATTCAGGAGATTCGCGAATGGACCGTAGCTCCTCATCTTGTTTTTGTTGCTGTGCAAGCTCGATTAAGTTCGATCTCGGCAGGTAAACGAATGGCTTCGATGCGGAAAAGGGAATCCGCCACAATATTATCATTGCCCGATAAGTATTCGATACGCATGATGAACTGCGAGATGAATGAAAGTTGTCTCTGTTGCCGAGGTGATGCCTTTTCAGAACGTTGCATGAACGCGTAGATGAGAGGCTTGTGATCAGTCTTGAAATTTCGCCCTTCGAGGAAATAACGAAAATATTTGATTGCCTCGGCGATCGCCGTAAGCTCCCGATCGTACGCGCTGTAGTTCTGTTGCGCCGAATTTAATTTGCGCGAAAAGAATGCGAGCGGTTTCCACGAATCGTCTAAACGTTGTTCGAGGGTGGCCCCAATGGCGAAATCTGACGCGTCACAAACGAAGCGCGTCTCGGCTGCGTCGGAGGGGTGAGAGAGTATAGTTGCGTTGGCCAGACTCTCCTTGCACGTATTAAACGCTTCTTCAGCCACCGGCGTCCATATGATTGGCCGTTTGTCGTTTTTGCGTGAATCGCGAAGGTATTCATTTAATGATGCCTGAACGATAGCTGCATTATGCAGTAATTTACGATAGAAGTTGACAAGTCCAAGAAAACGACGCAATTCGACAATAGTGTTAGGCCTTGGAAACTCGCGAATAACCTGAACCTTATCGAGTGTCGGTTTACAACCTTCGCTGTTAATCGTAAAGCCGAGGAATTCTAATTCTTGCTTGCCGAACTCGCATTTATCTACATTGAGTCGTAAATAAAACTTTTTTAATCGCTGTAACACTATGCGTAAGTGACCTTCGTGCTTTTCAAGAGATGACGACGCTATGAGTATGTCATCGATGAATGCAAACACAAATTCCAGGTCAGGCCTAGAGCGCGGAAGATTTGACGCTGAAATGTTTGACTCGCGTTTCTAAGACCGTATGTCATGAATTTATATTCGAACAGCCCGAAGGGCGTAACGACAGCCGTTTTCGGAATATCTTCCGGCGCCACTGGAATTTGGTTGTATGTCTGATACAGCTTGTATGACAGATCTAGCTTAGAGGAAATGACTTTCCCACGCAGGTTGGAGGAGCAATCGTGCAAATGAGGTACGGGAAATTTATCCGGCACGATAATTGCATTAAGACGACAGTAATCGACGCAGATCCTCCATGATCCGTCTTTTTTCAAGTACCATGTGAATGGGACTTGCCCATGGACTACTGGACGGA